ACTTTGTGATAAATACTATTCACTTCACGCAAAAATTTACAAGTGGTTCGATATAGGCTTCGATTATTTTGGCCGAACTACAACCCCGCAGCAAACTGAGTGTGTTTTTATTCACAACAAATTATAATATTATAAATATTTAATAGTCTCTCATATCTATTTATTGTTTAATAAAATTTTAGCATCGCTCAGGACATCTTTTTAAAGTTGTACAAAAATGGTTACCTTAATGAAGATGTCGTGATTCAATTATTCTGTGAAAAATGTCAACGGTAAGCTATTACATTTTTTTTTTCCCGCAATAATGTATGAAGTTATTTGCGAATTGAACGATTCATTGTAGGTTTCTTGCGGATCGTTTCGTAGAAGGAACCTGTCCCAAATGTAGCTATGAGGTGCGTGAATAACTTATTTGACTTAGAGTATTAGGATGTAAATAATCATTGAATATATTAACTATTTTCTTGTAGGATGCTCGAGGAGATCAATGTGATCATTGTGGTCAACTTCTTAACTCTATAGAACTTATAAATCCACGATGTAAAACAGATGGTAGTACACCTATTACAAGGAAATCGAATCATATGTTCTTAGATTTGTCAAAATTGCAACAAAAAGTTGAAAATTGGATAGAAAAAGCTAGTGTCGAGGGTAAATGGTCAGCTAATAGCAAAACTATTACTCAATCTTGGCTTAAAGAAGGGTTAAAACCTCGCTGTATTACTCGTGATCTTAACTGGGGCACTCCGGTGCCACTTGAAGAAATGAAACAAAAAGTGTTTTATGTTTGGTTCGATGCTCCTATTGGGTAAGTTTTATTACCCATACCTACAAACGTCAGTGATACCAACATCTTGTTTACATTATTTTTGGTGCGTAAAGTTACTTTTCTATAACGGCAAACTACACGAATGAATGGGAAAAATGGTGGAAGAATCCAGATCAGGTCAAATTATATCAATTTATGGGAAAAGATAATGTTCCTTTCCATACTGTTATGTTTCCTTGTTCATTATTGGGTACGGACGAGGAATGGACCTTGTTGCATCATATAAGTACTACCGGTGAGAATTGGCAATTTTTTGGTCTTTTGAGCTCGCATTTGTTATATATTTATGCATACATATATATTCCAATTCAGAATATCTTAATTATGAAAATGCAAAGTTTTCCAAATCCCGTGGTATTGGAGTATTTGGTGATGATGCGATAGACACTGGAATACCTGTTGCTGTCTGGAGATATTATTTGATTTCAAGTCGTCCAGAAACAAATGATTCTACATTCACTTGGAAAGAATTTATTGCCAAGAATAATAACGAATTGTTGGCTAACCTTGGAAACTTTGTCAACCGCGTCATTAAATTTGTCACTGCTAAGTTTAATAGCACTATTCCATCTTTCTCTTATGACTCCGAATCTGAACAAGAGCTCATAAAGAACATCAATAACTTGTTAACGAATTATATTGATGCGCTAGAAAATATCAAATTACGTGCAGGTCTCGAAACAGCTATGGAGATTTCACGACAGGGTAATGGTTACCTACAGGATTCCAAACTCGATAACGCTTTGTTTGGAAACAAACCTGAGAAATGCGCTTCGGTTATTGGTATTTCGGTAAATTTGATTTATCTCCTTTCTGCCGTATTTAGTCCATATATGCCGTCCGTCAGTGAGTCTATTGTCCGTCAATTGAATGCACCACTGAGGAATATTCCCGATACGTTTATAATGGATATTGAACCTGGCCACCAAATTGGTAAAGCCGAATATCTTTTCAAGAGGATTGATGAAAAAATGGGTGAGGAATATATTAATAGGTTTGCTGGTGAGTCAAAAGACAAAATAAAAACAGGTAAAAAAAGTAAAAAAACATCTAAGTCAGCTAATAATGCAAAAACAAGTGAAAACCAAACCTCCCTCCAAGCCCAAATACAACAACCACCCAAATATAACTAAAATATGATTAGAATAAATGCTTGGCGATGTATTACTTTTTAAATTGAACTCAAGCACTTAAATTTTAAAGTTAAATATGCACTAGGTGGATTCAGAATTAATTTTATGTTGATTCAAAATCTAGCAATATTCAATTCCAACATATATACATACAAACATATCTGATATATATACACATCTTTTTACTTAGTAACTTTAATTGGTTGCCATAATTTTTAATATAATCTATAAAATCGACTGACTAAGCCGGCTAAGTCGACTGCAACCGCATTTTTTACAGGGCAATCACCAAACTTCTGGTCGAAATTATCAACTGGTCACTTTATTTTAATGAACGACTATGATTTCATTAAAATTTTTAAAATTTTTAGTGATCTTGGGCAAAATTGAACAATTCTGACCCATCAGACCAGGAGTTTTGAGGATTGATATTAGTTTGATTGCACATAACAACTCATGCACAACACGCACGTTATAAGAACCCAATTCTACACCAATCCTACTAACCCAGCACAGGGTCCTCTATTCGACTATTAACTATAATCCATTTAATTATACATAAGTTATATAATAAGACTATATATCGATATACATTTAAATCCTAGATGCCATGCCCCTCACGGCAGATTCTCAATTTTAATTGGCTAGGAGCTACGGTCAAAAAGTTAGGCCAAATTACGCATATGAAATTAACTGTCGGCTCAGAATTTTTATTTTTGGAATGAAAAATTTAAAAAGAATTTCGACCAGAATTACAAAAAAAATTATGTAATGTGGGCCAAAATTTTGTCGCGATAGAATATATCGATAATGCTGTAATATTAACCTGCGTCAGTATCCTATTACAAACCACTTTTTTTAGGAGAGTTTTGGATTTAGGTGTTGACAAATTAATTTTATAATAGTCTGAGATTTACAGGAAGTATACATGCACCACAAACTACCGACCAAATTTCAAATCAAGAATTGAAACTATTAATAAAAATTTCCTTATACCGAAAACTCCAAATAAGATTTAATTTTTGGAATTTTCACTGATATTTTTGCTTGTAATTTGTAAAGAAAAAGTAATAAAAACTTTATCCGTAGGATTAAAAGCATTAAATATTACAAGCAAGTTGTTCAATTCTTTAGCGAATGATTGTATAACGTGACATTTTCAGGCGAAGTCTATATAAATACAGTATATGTTAAAAAAATATACTTTTAATATATATATATTATATTAATTAACAAAATTCACACCTTAAATTTTAAGCTTAAATTCACTATACCAACGGCCTCACATATTACATAGTTCCCAAACTTCAACCTATACTAATTTCATTCATATATGATATTAATTAAAAACTACAGCCAGGTGTTGAATAAATTATTTCTAAAAAATAAAATAAAAAATTTACATACCATGTTTATCAACAAAAAACATTTTGTATAGGTATGAATCCCATGAAATATGATTTTCAAATTCTAAAGAATTTGGTACTTCTAGCTTTTCAGAATATATTTTAAATTTCTTTGACGGTGTTATGTAATTCGTATAGTCGAATAGAGGATAAGTTGATTTAAGGGAATTTGTTGAGAATTTTATTACACTTAGAGTGGAGAGTAATTATGTTGTAAATTCTGTACTCGATGGTAAGGATAATAATCTTGTAGCTTAAATATTTAAAGTATTCTACTCACTTTTACAAAAGTGAAATCTGGCATTAATTGATTCTATATCATGTTTATCATTAAAAAAATCTTGGAATTTCAAAAGCTCAAATTACCATTAGGTTTTTTAAAATTTTTATTAATTATATAATTTATAAATAAAAAATATGTACCTTGTTTCAAACTAATAGATTCAGAACCTACAGTACTGCAGTATTTTGGTTTGTTTTTGCCAAAATTACTTTATATTTATTTGAAAATTTCTAATAATTTTGTTTTGTTCTCAGAGCTAATGCCTTTTTACTAAAAATAAACATATATTTAGCAATAAAAAAAAAAAAAACTTTTTCAAATCAGGATAAAATTGTATTACACCTAAAAGTTCTTTAATGATATTTCTCACCTTATTGTAGAATTTTGATTTAGGTCGAATTCGGAAATAGAGTCCCATAGATGTCTTTTATTTAATGAGCCTCTTTTAGCCGGGTGATTTTTTAAACAATTGATTGTTTAAGTTCAATAGCTTTTAATTTGGTCGTTAACTGATCTAAAAAATTTATTTATATAAAATTATGAATAAAAAGTGTATGCATATATGCTGAGGTCGAACCAGGAAAATGTGTTTTTTTTTTGAAGTTGAACATCGAAAGCTTTTAAATACAAAAAAAAACCATGGAAATATAAAGCTACAAAAATATAAGCCACGGCTACAGAAAGGTAAGCCCACGGAAGTTATAGAAAAAAAAATTGATAGCGAAACCTCTTTGCTTTGATTTTGTTCATTGTTATATTTATTATTCGTTTGTTGAATTACTAATCACACTTATTTGTTTGTTTTTAATGTCGATTCTATTAATTAAACCTTATCCTGAAAATTTTTTGAACGCTTGACCTTTAATACAAAAATCTTTAAAGTAAATCAGCATGTAAATTATAATACTCAAATTTAGCAAATCAAATTAAATCATTAGATATTCGAAAATTCAATGAGTATATCAGAACATTCATTCAATTTTTTGACCGATACCCGAATAATCTGAATTTTATTTTTTGATTGGATCAGATGAAACTAAAAGTTATGAATAGTCAAGAACAATCTTAGATTAAGTGATAATATTGAATTTTTATTCTTAATAAATTTCATAAACAAAAAAAAAAAAAACTACACGAATACGTATAAAATATCTAGTTAAAATGATTTCGTAAAATATCTTTATAAAATATATAGATTATATAAGAAATTGATAATAAAAGAATTATAGATCTATTCCTTTTGTTTGGCTTTTTGGATTTCTGCTGGAGAAGGTGCCAAATCGTATTTGTCAAATCTTGATTCGTCGAAGAACTTAGCAGTTACGGAACGACCTCCAAAGAAACGACCATTAAGATCTTTCTTCGCTTTTAATGCAGCTGCTTGTGCCTCAAACTTTACGAATATTCTTACAGCTTGATCATCTGGTAACTTGCCGTGAGGTACCTAATCAAAAAAAAATAAGGAATAAAAATATTGACGAAAATAAATAGAAACTTCATATAAATACTGACCTCAAATATAAGGCAACGTTCCACAGTTCCATATTTTTCATTGCATTCATCAGCTGTTTCTTCTTGAAGAGTATCGTCCACTTCACCAGGACCAACCTTTAAAAGTTATGGATGTTAGTAATGACTATTGAAATTATATTAGTTTCAAGAAACTCGTTCAATAAGTTTCAATACAAATAAGTTTACCATATTGGTCAATAAAATTACTCTGGAAGGTACTTCAACATTCGAAGGAATTGGATCACTTTTCGCTTGAGCTGAGGTTGATTTGGTTTTTTAATGAAAATTTAGAAAATTCTTAGATTTGAATATTATAATTGCAAAAAGAATAAATTGGCTACTTATAGACTAATATAATTAGTTACCCGGTATATTAGTGGATGTATTAACGATGATTCCTGATCTATAGTCCGTTTTTTGGACTTTCAGAGGTTCATTAATACCTTGTTCATTTTTTCCTAAACCTATAAAAATAAATATGACAATGAATAAAAAAGCAACCGAGTAACAAAATTTCAAATAAAAAAATAAAAGCAATGAATTACCTTGACCTTCCTGCCAACCATATTTAGCAAGTATTCGATGGGCAAAATCTTCACCACTAGATAGACCAGATGAAGGTTTTGGTTCAGGAGATCTAAGAAGGATGAAAATTCAATAATAGTTTTATAAAAGCGAAGAATAATTTCACAAATTTAAAAATTACACACTTTTGAGCTGTCTGGTTGCTCAGCCGTGCTCTTCTTAAGAATGCTTCTTCACCAGTTATATCTAAATCGATCTTAGCAGGCGGAGTACGCGGTCTAGGAATTTCTTGTACGGATGTTTCAGCTGCTGATGATTGAGTTTCTGAATATAATGTTGGTGGGGGAGGAAATGAACCTAAATATGCAATAAACAATTATTTAGTAAAAATGAAATTTACGAAATTTTATAAATTTTAACAATTAAATATAAACTTACGAGGTGGTGTACGTTGCCTTGGTTCTGGACTCATTGATCTACGTCGAGAATGTTCTTCATGATAAGCTATTTCTTTACGTTTTTTTTCATATTCTTTATATTCTTCATAATCATTTGGACGTGTAGGGTCATAGTCATCTTCCATTGATAAGGGTGCTTGCCTTTTAACACCTTTTCCTTGTTTTTTCCCCTATAAAGAAAATATTTTGTAATATGAAAATGAACTCATAAAATAAAAATTACATATTATTATAATATTTATAAATAACAAATTAATTACTTTTTCAAAAGCGCTACGTTGATTGCGTTGATTATTCACAAAAGCTTTATAATCATTGACATCTTCCGAACCTAAAGACTGTTTTGGAGAAGAAATTGACGTAGAACTAGGTGTGGCGATAGGTTCACTATCAGTAGAGACAGCAACAGGAGGCGGAGTTGATACGACACTGTTTAGACTAGAAGTTGTAACGATATTTTGGTTTGGAGAAGTCGATACGGCGGGAGGATTGGGAGATGTTACAGGGACCTTAGGAGTAAGTTTTGGTTTTGCTTGTATAACAGGTTTTCTTTGAATAGTAGGCATAAAACGTAAAGTTCCTGGAGTCCAACCAACTGATAAAATCCATTTTCGGCACACGTATTTCGTTCGTGTCGAAATGTTATTCAGGTGAGTGATTTGCTTTTGAGTGGATTCATTACTTTGTACATACTATCATAATAGTTTGAACAGATCCATGTTTATAGATTGGAAAATTTTTTTTTTAGGTTTTGCCATATCTGCTTGTACCTGGAAGAGCAGATTTTGATTTCGAACTCGTAGATTGCGTTTCCATTGCGGATTGTTGAGTTTCCTCTTTATCTACATTGGGTGCTGAATGTGTGGGAGGAGGTAAATCGCCGTAAAGTGACATGATTTTCTTTCGTTCTTCTCTTGAAAAAAAAGTTTTTTGTTAAAAAAATTATTGTACTGTATATAAAAATGTAAGAGTTTTTTTTTATTTTAAAATCGTCCTAGCCATTTTATTATTTATGATATTATACATACTTGGTAAGCTTCAAACCACGTATTACCGTTACTATTGTAAAAAGCGTGTGTATCAGGTACAGGTATGACTTGAGTACTTAGTGTGTAACAATTTTACATAAATATGCGAACTGCGTCTTAGAACCGCAGCTCCGCAGTTCGATCATCACTTACGTTAAATACACCTCAAGAAAACTTTAGGTTTAAGAATACACCTTCAAGAAGGCTTCAGTTTAAGAAAAACTCATTATTTAAAAAATTAAACCAAATACTTTAAAAAAAACTATTCCACCAAAATGGCTATTCGTAAGTGTTTTATTTTATATATAAAATCCTAGCCATTTATTTATATACTTTAATAACTGAAAAGGAAATTCTTATAGGTGCGCAGTTTGAAAACAGCAATGAAATTGGAGTTTTTTCCCGTTTAACGAACTCTTATTGCTTGGTTGCGATAGGAGGTTCAGAAAATTTTTACAGGTTTGTATATCTTGATTCTCGTTTCTAGTCCTTATTTAATAAAAATTCATAAATTCTCGTATTAGTGTATTTGAAAGCGAATTAAATGATATAATTCCAGTAGTTCATACATCAATTGCTGGTACTAGAATCATCGGTCGTTTAACTGCAGGTTTGTTTATCATTTTTTTTTTTTTATATGTAATATTTTTTGTCTATATAATATTGGACTAAACTGTGACTTTGATTCACTAAAAAAAAGGTAACAAGAAAGGACTTCTCGTCCCAAACACGACGACAGATCAGGAACTTCAACATTTACGAAATTCGCTTCCGGAATCTGTTCAAATTCAACGTATTGAGGAACGTCTTTCAGCATTAGGAAATGTTATTGCTTGTAATGATTATGTTGCTCTTGTCCATCCTGATGTTGATAGAGAAACTCAAGAAATTATTCGAGATGTATTAGATGTAGAAGTGTTTACGCAAACAATTGCGGGTAATGTATTAGTTGGTAGTTATTGTGCGATAAGTAATCAAGGTGGATTGGTAAGCATATGAGTTAGCTCTAGTTTATACTTTTATTTTCTTGATCTTGAATTCAAATATTAAAATCATGAACATTAACTATAGGTTCATCCACGTACGACTGTTCAAGATCAAGATGAATTATCATCACTATTGCAAGTTCCTCTTGTTGTTCGTATTTATTTATTAGGGTGTAATTGAACGATGGAAACATAATATATATTTACATTTTCTATATTGTCTATTTCGATAGGCCGGAACGATAAATCGCGGATCTGATGTGATTGGCGCAGGCATTGTAGTGAATGATTGGTGTGCATTTGCGGGATTAGATACCACCGCAACAGAATTATCTGTGGTCGAAAGCATTTTCAAATTGCAAGATGCACAACCAACGGCAATCGTCAAAGAACTAAGAGATTCACTAGTAGACACGTATGGTTAATCGTTGTGCTATATACCCTAAAATGAATTCTCAAAAATTTTTTATCTCTAATTGTTCATTAAACGAAATTTAAGTATCTTTTAATTAAATTAAAATTGTAAAGAATTCATTTTATAGTGTAATTTTGTCATTCTGTCAGTTTACATTAATAGATTAATTAGAATGTCAGACTTGCCATCTTGTAAATCGCACATCTTATTTTATTTTAGTAATTTATGTTTGTACCAAATAATAAATATATTTTTTTCTACTTAACTTTTCTATTTATATATATATATAACACAATTTTAATTATACGTACGTACGTACGTATACGTAGTTCTTACGTATACAATAATAAACACAGAAATAGATAAAGTTAACAGATAAGCAATTCGATCACTCTTATAACTGTAGAATAAAGCAATAACGATATGATTAAATTACACATGCAACTAGAAGTTCATTCAACTTGCCCATTAGAAAGAATTCAATCATCCAATCAAATTAATTGTATAAATATGTACGTACGTACGTACTCCGCACTAAGTAACGATAATAAAGATACTCACGTAATTTCGTTCAGAACACGATACTTGAAATTTCACTTGAGATAAACCATTAATTTTTAAGGACACAATGGAAGTAGAATACTACAAACAAAAGTTTAATACTGATAATGATCTCAGTAATTCTGTTATTATATCAAAATATAGAAGTGCTGCCGATATTGTGAACGGTAAAAAAAAAAGAAAATCGAGTTTTTTAATATCTATAAAGTCATTTATCCTCGCGTAATTAACAAAAAAACAACCTAAAATAATTTAAAATAATTTAATTATAGTTATTTTGCCACAAATTATTAGTAGAATTGTACCGGGTGCTTCTGTTAGCGAATTATGCAAATATGGTGACCAACTTATTTTTTCGCATGTATGCATTATAATAATAATGTAATTTACAAATATACTTGAAACAAAAGTTTCTCACGTATTTAATATAATAGACTTCCAAGGTATACAATAAAACTAAGGTTGAAAAAGGTGTAGCATTACCAACAATGATTTGTGTAAATCATTGTTTGCAATATTTTTCTCCTCTACCTGAAAATGACGTTATTCTTCAACATGGAGACCTAGTTAAAGTGTTTGTATAAAAGATAATCTTTTTTTTTTTTTGAATAATCTTTATTATCTTTATTGCAAAATCTACAAATAATTTTTAATTTGTCTATTAGAGAATTAGGTGTACATATTGATGGATATACTGCAAGTGCAGCACATACCACAATATTAAACCCAAATCCACAACAACCTATAGAAGGTACATTATTAATTATTAAATATATATATATTAAAATGATTTGATAATGTAATTTACTTTATGATGTAAAGGTCGATCCGCTGATGCTGTTGCAGCTGCACATTTTGGTGCCGAAGTTGCATTGAGATTGTTGAAAGCTGGGAACAAAGTAAAAAAAATTTATAATCCTCAAATATAATATAATTATTTTATTATTAATAAGTCTACACAATCACAATTTTCATAGGGATCAGATATAGTCAAGGCTGTAAATCAGGTCGCGGAAGCTTTCAAATGTGTAACGGTTGAAGGATCTATTGTACAACAGATTCGTCGTTATGTTCTTCAAGCTGAAAATTTTGCAATTTTGAATCAAAATGATGGTTTTCCGGATGGTGATTTTATGATTAATTCGAATGAAGTTTATACTGTCAATATACTTATGAGTACTGGTAATGGTTTGGTGTGTATTAAACTTTCTTTTTATCAGTTTAATAATAATATTGCTTCATATTGTATATGTATTTTTTCATATCTATAATTGACCATATTACTGTATTAAATCTTATGATTATAGATCAGGGAATCTGATTTAAAACCAACAATTTATCAAAGGAATATTAATGAAGTATATAATTTAAAATTGAAAGCTGCTAGAACAGTATTTAAAAAAATTACCGATAATTATAGTGTCTTTCCATTTTCTTTAAAGTAAGTTATTTCTTTTAATAAGCCTATCTATCTATAATTTACACCATTTTAATTCTCACTAATATTATTTTTATAGTTCATTGGAGAATACACGAGATCGTCTTGGAATTCCGGAATGTGTAACACATGGTCTGCTGAGACCGTATTATGCCCTATTAGAAAACACTGGTCAGGCTGTCGTGACGCAATTTAAATTCACGGCTCTTGTTGGGACAAACGGAAATGCTACGCGTATTACGTCATCACTTCAATTACCATATGTTTATTCTGAATTGTCCATACCACCAGAAACAGACATTGCAAAGTTGTTAGCTAGTGATGTTAAATCGGCAAAGGTGAAAAGTATATGAAATAAAATAGAGATGAATCTAGGTAGATGCATGTGAAGCCATTTTTTTTTATAAATATATTTATTCATTATTTATGTCTTGGGTCAATTTTAAAAACTACAGTATTTCAAATTTTTTACAAATTACTATGCTGACGAGGTTAATAAAGTATTACAAGACGACATCAATTTCTAAAATAAAAATACTTAATTATTAAAATATTTTTTTTAATACTAAAATAACAATAACTAACGAAAAAAAAAAACCTTTAATTCTTCGATAACATCGGCTTCATTAAACCCTTTCGGTCCAATTCTGCCATACCTCAAATCACTCATATCTTCATTTATCCTTTGATTTTAGCAAAATAATTAACTATTAATCACTGCAAGTTCAAATATTTGACTTTTTGATTAATGAATCGTAAACTTTCATTATGTTTAATAAAAATACCTTTGAATATCCTGAAATAATTCATTACATTCCAACTCAATAGCATTAATCTCATCTGTTATCTGTTTTTCCGCAATCGATAGTATTTCAATTGCTTGATTCAATGTTAAACGATCATTCGACTAATTAAAAATAACGTAAGCTAGATCTGTAAACTCAATTATAATTTCATTTAATTCATTTTATTAGTCGTCATACCTCATCTAGCATATCGTCTTCATTCAGATCAATATCCATCATATTACGATTTTTCCACAATTCAAATTTTTTACATTCCTCTATAGTATTTTGATGAACTATCTCCCTCGTAGATCTTCTGTCATTTTGATACTCTTTATACAAAGTTTTAATATGTTTATTGTTTCTAATGTTATCAATAATATTATTATTAGTTTTTATATGACGCGTCCTAAAAAAAGAAAAAGGAAAAATGCACACCTATAAGACTTAGGAAACAAGTTTGTAAATTGTTTAAGAGTTATGTTACTTTCAAGCTCACTGTTAAGGAAATATGAGAGTAAAACCGATTCTTCGGTTGCCATTTATTAACAAGTTATAAAGTTTAAGCAGTAAGTGTATAAAAGTTGTAATTTCGTTATGCGCGACTTATAACGGTAGTCCTTATCATTTCAGCCAATCAAAATTCTATACCTCGCGTGAGGTAAAACTAGCATACATTCCACAAATCATATGATTTACGCGCGAAGTGTGGGGGATCATTATTAACAGTGTTGGGCAAATTAGTGGTCGACCAAAAATTTACTGGTCAAAAATTAGTTAAATGGTTTTAATTGGGTTTGCTTAGATTATACATTTTATATGTTCTAAGCATGGCTTTGCTATGCAACAACCCAATTCTTATTTCTTAACTAATTCTCGATTTAGTGGGCATGGTTATTTTCTTGAATTTGGCCCGAACTAAACAATTAAGACCGAAATTCGAAATAACACCCCAGTAGCAGCTATTTCTTATTACAGTAGTACAAGTTGCTACATATATAATTTTTTATTCATACTGAATTAGGCCGTAAGTATTTATTAACTTAATTAACTTCATTAACTACTATACGTATATGACTCCCGTAGCGAAGTCAGGGGTCATTAGCTAGTACGGTATATATAATATAAAAATGTGCTGGGTTACAAGTAGGGTTGGAGGCACGGAGGTTGGAGGCATGCCTCATGGGAAATATGGGTAATAACCGTTTGTTCCACTTCCCTTTAACCAAAAGGCATGCCCCTGTCATGTGATCTATAGCTAACGTATGATCAGGACCCGGAAAAATATCGATTTGATTTGGCAAAAATAAGCATGGTGGACAAACCTCGTAGCACAAACTTCCCACGCTGACTCAGGGTCGATCTGTCCAATAAAAATATGATA